TTCTGGAAGGCCCGTTCCCCGCCCCCCCGAGCCTCCATGCAGACCCTGCACTTACTTGCATCGCATGGAGACTCCTGGGAGAGGAGGGGTGGGCAGGGCCAGCCGGTCGGTTGAAATAACAGTTCAGTGAACCAGATGTAACTTTAACTTCCGGTTTGCCCAAACCAGTCTGAACCGGTAGAATCTCACCCCTGATGTTATCCATGGACAAGCAGAAGGCCTTCCATACAAGCATTTTAGGAATCCTCTTTAGCAATCAGAAACTTGCAACAGTTGTTCCTCTATGGTTATTCAAGGTTCAGCTGCTGAGGAGAATGGCACCTCATCCAGCCACCCTATGTACTTAAACTTCCATGAGGCTTACATTCCCCTAGGAAATCTGGAAGTATAACCACACCCAGCAAATGTTTCCACTCCTCTCTCTCCTGCTGCTAATGACCAGGGCCAAGAGTGACACTGTGTCACTTTTGTGAAGGCATCAAGACCATCTTCCTAAGATATGGTGAAAATTAAGGTTAAGAGAGCAGCTCTTCTTAAATAATCCAATTTTCTTCCAACTCAAGGATGGTAAATTAAGGACTTTAAATTAAAGTAAAGTAAAATAATTAAGGTAAAATAATTAAGATGAAATAAGATAAATTAAGGACTTGAATATGTAAAAAAGAAGACAAGGAAACAACCGGTCCAGTAACAAGAGAAGATGACAAGGGAGTAATAGGCAGTAGACAGAAAGTAGAGCTGTGTAACTGATTCTTCAATCCACACAAAATGAAAATATAGCCCAACCTACCAAGAACATAACCTTAAACAGTCAGACTAGAAATAAAAATTAAAATAAATAAGAAACAAGAAAATGAAAAGAGAACACCTTTCTGATCTAGATGAGTTCAAATCATCAGGATTTGAAGGATTACATCCCAGAGATCTTAAGGAGATGGCAGATGTGATCTCAGAATTGTATCTTTCAAAGATCCTGGTGCACTGGAGAATTATCTGAGGACTGGAAAAGAGCTGATGTGGTTCCCATCTTCAAAAAAGGGGAAAAAACAAATCCAGGAAACCATAGACCGATCAGCCTGAAATCAATACCTGGGAAGATACTGCAAAAGATAATTTTAAAAAACAGATATACGAACACCTAGAAGCAAGTAAATTTATAACCAGAAGCCAACATGGGTTTATCAAAAAGAGGTCATGCCAAACCAATCTATTTCATTCTTTGACAAAGTGACTAAATTAGCAAAATGCTGTGGACATAGTATACTTGGATTTCAGTAAGGCATTTGACAAAGTAGACTACAACCTACTTCTTGGTAAGCTAAAAAAATGTGGGACAGACAGCATCATCACTAGATGAATTTGTAACTTCTGAAAACTGCATTCAACGAATAGTCTTTAACGGTACTACATCTACATAGAGAGAAGTAAGCAGTGGGGTACCCCAAGATTCTGTCTTGGGCCCAGTTCTCTTCAATATCTTTTTGAATGTTTTAGATGAAGGAATTGAAGGTGAACTCATCAAATTTGCAGATGACACTAAGCTGGCAGGAATACCCAACACCCCGGAACACAAGCTCAGGATCCAAAAGGATCTTGACAGATTGGAATGCTGGGTCTTATCCAACAAAATAAAATTTAATGTAGAGAAAAGTAAGATTTTACACTTGGGAAGGAAAAACCAAATTTTCAAGTACAACAAGGGTGTCGAAACTCGATTTAATTGAAGGCCGCATCAGGGTTGTGTTTGACCTTGGGGGACCAGGGTGGGTGTGGTCAGGGTAGGCATGACCAGCATGACATCACTCATGTTGAGGGTTCCTGTGGTGGCCCAAGTGCTCTGCCAGTGAAAACAGACTCCCGGGCTCCATTTTCAGCTGTGATGGCCTCCTGCAATCCTCTGCCAGTAAAAATGGAGCTCCACTTTTACTGGCAGAGGGCTGCAGGAGGCAGTCGCAGCCGAAAATGGAGACCTTGGGAGACAGCTGCTTGTGGCCCTCCTGAGCTCCATTTTTGCTAGCAGAGGTACCATGGGCTGTGCTTTTTCCAGGGCAGCCCTGTGGGCCAGATCTAAGCACCCCACAGGCCAGATTTGGCCCGCGGGCCTTGAGTTCGACACCCCTGAAGTACAAGTAAGATAAAACATGGCTCAAAAGCAGTAACTGTGAGAGGGATCTTGGATTCCTCATGGACAACCACTTAGATATGAGCCAACAGTGTGCGGTAGCAGTCAAAAAAATGCTAATGCAATTCTTGATTGCGTAAACAGAGTGATAGAGTCAAAATCATGCAAAGTATTAGTACTGCTAAATAAAACCTTAGTAAGACCACATCTGGAATACCACATCCAGTTTTGATCACCACATTATAAAAAAGATGTTGAGATTTTGGAAAGAGTGCAGAGAAGAGCAACTAACATGATTAAGGGCCTTGAGACTAAAGCATAAAGAAAAAAGGCTAGTATGGCTAGTTTAGTGAAAAAAAGAACTAGGGCTGACATAATAATAGTGTTCCAATATTTGAGAGGCTGCCACAAAGAAAAGGGGCTCAACCTATTTTCCAAAGTGCCAGAAGGCAAGACAAGAAACAATGGAAGGAAACCAACCAAGGAGAAAAGCAATCTTTCACTTAGGAGAAACTTCCTGACAGTGAGAACAATTAATCAATGGAATAGTTTTCCTTCAGAAGTTGTAGGTGCTTCATCACTGGAGGCTTTTAAGAAGAGACTGGATAGCCACTTGTCGGAAATGGTATAGGGGGTTGGACTAGAAGACCTCCAAGGTCCCTTCCAACTCTATTATTCTGTATTCTGCATGGATGAGAGAGAGTTTAAGAGAATTTGAAGGTTTGCAGTTTTGGCTACTTTTTGGTCCATCTTAATATCACCCAACTTTGGAACAACAACAGTTATCCTAAAAACCGTGAAACTGCCAAAGCATCTCAATACAGTATTTCCTTTTAAAGATTATAACTCCTTTCGTAACATTCTCACATAAAAATACATAGCACTTTGAAAGAAGTATCATCTCATGGGGAAATATTCAGAGAATATCTCCTGATTGACAGAGAAGGAAAAAAGGGACAAGGGGGCTACTTTTTTTCCAAAATATTCACTACATTTTGAAGTGTTTGCAATGTGCATGTAAGCCTTAGTTTCAGAACTGCAGTTTTTTTCCCCCTCATGATCTTCACTATAAAATCATGATTTTCACTATAAAATCTATGTTTTAAAAAAGCCACATGGATTCATAGTATAAAATTCCTCTACCTGATTGTGTACAATACGTAGCAACACGTGGACACATTCTGTGCTTGGGGATCCTATAAGAAATTCATCTTTTTTGTTGTTGTTTTGCTACTTTGACCTGTCACCTGCTGGCATGCAAAACTTAATTTGCATTAGTTGTTTGCTCAACTCACATACCCGCATACCAAAATTAGGAGTAGGGGAAGCTAATCCACAAAAACAAATTGTTTAAAAAATAAAGCGTTACCATACAGTGAGAAATCTCCTTCGTGACTTAAAATGTTGGTCTGTTTCTCAACAATATCACAGATCCAGTTAAACTGAAGGTGTGAATGATAAAACCAGGGAAGGTTTAACCCCCTTCCTGTTCAGTTGTGACATAGTGAGGAACAGATATGTATATAGCATTTATCACTTTTCCTGGGCTTGGCCTGTGAAACAATCTTCAATCAATCTTCAATATGGAAATGCTGCTTTCCATATCTGGAAACCTCTGTATTCTTTTTTACAGAACAGCAACTGTGCTGAATTTCTTCTATGCTAGTGATTACTTTGAAGTGATTTTTAGTGCTTGATGTTAGTATTGCTATGACTGTTTTATCAATTATGTGCTATCTATTCAGTGCTGATTTTTTTAATCTTGCCATTATTATTTTTTTATAAATAACTCAAGGCAGTGAACATATTTATTACTCCTTCCTCAACTCCTATTTTCCACACAATAACAATCTTGTGAGGTAACTTGGATTGAGAGAGACTAACTGGCTCGAAGTCATCCAGCCAGTTTTCATGTCTAAGATGGGACTAAATCTCACAATCTCCTTGTTTTGAGCTTGGTGCCTTCATCACTAGGCCAAACTGGCTTTCAGTCTTAGTGATCATACAGATAGATCTTATCCAGGATCACTGCTATGGCCAAATTAAAGCAACAATAGGACCTGACAATCTGCTTAATTGGCTTTAGGTAACTGTGGATTCTACCTGATGCTTCCACATCATTGTTCAAGAAGAATCCAAATGAGGCCACTGCTATCAGTCCTAAGATTACACAACCTAAAAGTTAGTAGATAAGATTTAAAAGTAGCAGAATATCTTACTTATTGGGAGGGAAACTAATTCCTGAGTTTTCATCTGATTTTAAACCACTTCATTCTTAAAATGTTTCTGTTGTGCACAGCAATTCAGTAATTCATATTATAACATTTTTTCTTTTCAAGTTCATTCCCTGTTGCAAACAAGAGGGTTTTTTTCTCTATACTGTAAAACTGAAAGAATGTGTATAGATTTGAAAATAATGTCGAATCAGATTATTATTCTTTTGGTGATTAGATGGAGATACTGTTTAAAGAAAGCGTATTTTACACAATTACAAATTTTGACTCTCAATGTGATTATTCCATATATAAATGAAGAAGGCTGTTACTGAACACACATATAAAACTGCAAGCATTGATAACAAATCCTGTTGCTGAAGAAACATTCCTTTCATAAATTCAATACAGCATATGGAATATACAAAATGCACCAATGTCTATAATGCACATTGTTTCCTTGTTCATATTAACAATTTTTTTAAAACAATGAAATGCTAAATCCAAGAATACATTTTCAAAAGGTTGTGATGCCAAATGCCTTTGTTACTTGTCCATTTCTATCTTTCCACATTGTCTATAAAGAACAATAAAAATAATGCCACATTTTCATGGTTACTTGGCTCTAATGTTGGCATCAATTACATATTTCCATTCTGGCACAATTATGTGTTTCTTGGAGTAGGTAAATCAATTACTATAGGTGGATTCAATGGCTGGTAATTCATAGTACAGACAGAAGCATTCACATAGGTAGTTGTTCCATCAGCCATAACACCATAACCTAAAAAAATTAAAAACATTGTTATAAATAAGCTTGTCTTCAGTACACGATTTCTGTTATCATACACCAAGGTTTGGCCATATAGAAATTCTTATCCATCCCATTGAACATCAATAAATCACAGCACTAAACTTGAATGCCTTCTTGAATCCAAGCAAACAACACTTGGTGTCCTCTTTTTGGAAGAATAGTTTCAAATCCCTACAATTTAAATAATTCCATGTAAAATTTAGGGCCTCTCTGCAATTGAATTCTCTGTCTCTAAAACTTTAACATTAAACCTGAATTTAGATTAGGCCTCTCCAACTGAATGCAGGATTCTATTTGGTTCTTCAGGAAGAAAATGGAACTCTTCTTATGAAACCATCATTCAAATGAATGGATATTAAGTCTCAGTTCATGGAAGAAGGGTCTTTGCATGTTGGATCTAAAGGTCTCCATCGAATTTGGATTCCTTTGAGATATTCTGAAGCCAAATTGAATGTACATCCAGAGTGAGTTAAGAAGAAGAAAGGAAAAAGCATGCCAACTATCAAGGCATTACCATTTTCTTGCTCCTGTTTCTTTCCCTTTACCCCTATAAAGATATTTTCAACATTAAGAGCTTTTAAATAGCATTCAGAGATTGAACATCTGTTACTTCTATATAACTGTATGTCACAATGACCCCTGTCTCCTTTATAAGTTGGCTTTGTTGCTACTCTTCATATACGGAGTTTGAAAACAACCTATTAACTGCAGCAGGTTCCATACGCTACAGAATTTGACAAAGTGCAAATTATGGAGACATTTCCATGGAGCAAATCAAAAGTAAAGGCTGAAGGAAATTTATTTTACAGAGAAGCAAAATACAGAAAACAAAAATATGTGGCATAAGACAGTTGATGCTAATCATGGTTCTAGAAGATCCAAAATTTCAGAAAATTACTCTTCCCCCATTATCTTTGAAAAATATATCAAATTCTAGCAAAAAATGTTGCAGAAAATCTTTCTAGCACTTTTTTCATATTCGTATGAAAAATCCCCAGATACAGAGATAATAATGTAGATGTAATAAATGTATGCCGAAAAATAAAGCAGTTTGCAGAGAAGATAATGAAGAACAGCTTTTTTACTGAAAGTAATAGAATTCTGTCACACTAGGAAGAATGTTAAAGAGGGATGTTTTCACAAACAATAAGATGAAAATAGACTGGTGGTACAGTAATTATTTCTCCTGGAAATTCAGGAAACGAACATTTGCTTTTGTCTCTTTAGTTATAGTAACAGATATCAGCAGCAGCCATGCCATGATGGAACATTCTAGCACTTAGTTTTTTTACATCACCATTTTGAATAACTTGAGAAATCCAAGGTAAAAATCTACTCTGTTATTTTAATTACTATCACCTGCTGTAAATATATTCATGTTCCCTTTACTGTGTTTATTACTTAATACATGCTGGTATGAAAAAGCATTCCAGCTTAGTGGAATGAGCTCCAACATAGTGCCTGAGCAAACACTACGCAGGTAGTCCTCAGCTTATGACCACAATTGAGCCCAATTGTGAATCACTGCAGTTGATAAGTTAGTGACCCGTTTGTTAAGGGAATCTGGCTTCCTCACTGACTGGTCAGAAGGTTGCAAAAAGTGATCACATGATCTTGAGACACAGCAACAGTCATAAATATGAACCAGTTGCCAAACATATGAACTTTGATCACGTTAGATGCTAGAAAGGTCGTAACTTGAATAATGATCATAAGTCACTTTTTTCAGTGCTGCTATAACTTTGAACAGTCCCTAAACTGTTGTAAGTCGAGGACTAGTTATATATTTACCAGTCTAGATCCGGCTAGACTTTGCATTACTAGTTGGTAAAAAGTAGGTCCTTCAAGGGCATCTGTAGGATGGACTATATGCGTGGGGGAAAAAGCCAGCATAGTGGCCATGATTATACAGTTGCCTTATAGACTTTTTTGTCCTCCTTTATGGACACAATTACTCACTCTTGGTCCTTGCTGTGTAAAGACTGATTTTTAAGCTTATCCAATGCAACAGAAGTTTTTATAGCCAAAAGCAGAGGTGATGGAAGTGCAATTAATCAGCATATCTCTTACCTACTACAGTTAACATATCAACAACTTCGTATGACTCAATTTTTATTTTTTTATCATGAAAGTAATACACACACACATACAATTCCTGACCTTCATGAATGTGTCCAAAAACATGAAGTCGTGGTTGTATTCGTCTCTGGATTGTATTCAGCAGCTCAACACAACCCACCCTTTGCATTTTCTTAGGCACCCAATCTAGGAAACCTTCAAAATAAGAAACAAATACAATTTATAAAACGATGAACAACTTTAAAACGATGAAGAACTTAAGACTCTATTTCATTCAATATCTAGCTCTTCTAGCATTAAGAGAATATCTAGACACTTATTTTTGTTCATGTACAAAATTAAAATTAAATAACAATAATAAAACTGAATAATGATTTATACTAGCAGGAGGTATCTACCCACTAAAAGCTGCATTCATGTGTGTGTAAGAGAGATGGTTCTAATAAATGCAAATATACAATTTTGGTAAAAAAAATGCAAAAGAAAGTCTCAATGAATCTCTCAGATAATTTTTATCTTTATTTTATTTGGTGTGATTTATTGTTGCGGGATAACACAAGTAAAAATATAAAATCAGCTCAGAGGCCAAATGCTCAATTTTGTTATTTGTAATGGAGCTAAAATCACTGCGACTTCTTAAGTGCAGATTTTTAGCAGAGAAAGAATTCACTTAACATAGTTTAGCATTCAACAAGAGAGTTGTCAGCCAATGACAGTAACTTGTAAGAAAAGGATCAAATCTAGGCATGAAGGGTGCAGTTGACTCTAGTTAAGGACAGTGAATATAATTATTCTTCATGGCTTCAATATTTGCTTTCTGGCATATTAAAAATTATAATTTGGTGGCAATGTCTGGAAAATCCTGGGAATCTTATTCAAGATCTTTGTTTTGGGACAAGTGTTTGTGGCCCCATTCAGACTGAGATTACTGTATCTCAGAGGATGCTTAGTTCTTCTCCCAGTCTTGCCCTTTCCTTGTACTAAGTGGGATGCACAGCTTCATTTGACAGGATTAAAAACAAATAAAAACCACTCTTTCTGTGAAGAGTTACCTTAAAGCAGGGGCGTCAAACTCAAGGCCCGCAGGCCGAATCCAGCCTACAGGGTGCTTGGAACTGGCCAGTGGGGCCACCCTGGGAACAGCAAAGCAGCAGCCTGCAGTGCCTCTGCCAGAGAAAATGGAGCTCAGGAGGGCTGCGTGTGGTCCCGCCTGCCCCCGAGCTCCATTTTCGGCTTCGGATGGCCTCCTGCAGCCCTCTGCCAGCTAAAACGGAGCTCGGGACGGCCACGCACAGCCCTCCCAAGTTCCATTTTCGCTGGCAGAGTGCTCAAGCCACCACAGGTGCCCCTGACACCAGTGATGTTGAGCTGGCCACACCCATCCTGGCCACGCCCACCCAGTTCCCCGAGGTCAAATTCAAGCCTGATGTGGCCCTCAACAAAATCGATTTGGACACCCCTGCCTTAAGGCATATCTTGAAACTTGTAAGAGAATTCCCGTTGAGGCAGAAAGCTTCCATTTTGAGACAGAGGGTCCAATTTGAAAAACAGCCACATATTCAAGTTCTCTCTGGCCTGGAGAAGCAGGAAACCCTCTTGTTTTCAAGATCTGCTATGTCTCTGAGAAGTTAGTTTAAGGCATATCTTGTATTTGCTAAGAGGCACATTATACCCAACTTTAAATAATCATTCTAATTCAAAAGACAAAGCTTGTGACTCATATTTAATACACGGGATGCTTTACCATTAACTTATTGAATATTTGCCCCTGAGAGAATAAATGAATGAATGAATGAATTCTTTATTGGCCAAGTGTGATTAGACACACAAAGAATTTGTCTTGGTGCATATGCTCTCAGTGTACATAAAAAGAAAACAAACATTCGTCAAGAATCATAAGGTACAACACTTAATGATAGTCATAGGGTATATATAAGCAATCAAATCATACTAGGAAACAGTCAATATAAATCATAATAAGGATACAAGCGACAAAGTTACAGTCATACAGTCACAAGTGGGAGGAGATGGGTGATAGGAATGATGAGAAGATTAATAGTAATAGTAATGCAGACTTAGTAAATAGTTGGACAGGGTTGAGGGAATTATTTGTTTAGCAGAGTGATGGTGTTTGGGAAAAAACTGTTCTTGTGTCTAGTTGTTCTGGTGTGCAGTGCTCTAAAGCAATGTTTTGGGTAGGAGTTGAAACAGTTTATGTCCAGGATGTGAGGGGTCTGTAGATATTTTCACAGCCCTCTTTTTGACTTGTGCAGTATAGAGGCCCTTAATGAAAGGCAGGTTGGTAGTAATTGTTTTTTCTGCAGTCCTAATTACCCTCTGAAGTCTGTGTCTGTCCTATTGGGTTGCAGAACCAAACCATACAGTTATAGAGGTGCAGATGACAGACTCAATCATTCCTCTGTAGAACTGGATCAGCAGCTCCTTGGGCAGTTTGAGCTTTCTGAGTTGGTGCAGAAAGAACATTCTTCGTTGTGCTTTTTTGATGACATTTTTGATGTTAGGTGTCCATTTTAGGTTTTGAGATATGATAGAACCTAGAAATTTGAAGGTCTCTACTGTTGATACCATGTTGTCTAGAATTATAAGAGGTGGTAGTATGGGAGTGTTTCTCCTAAAGTCTATCACCATTTCTATGATTTTGAGTGTGTTCAGTTCCAGATTGTTCCGATCACACCACGAGGCAAGTTGTTCAATTTCCCATCTGTATGTGGATTCATCGTTGTCTTGAATGAGACCAATCATTGCTAGTTTAACAGATGGATTGTTTGAGATGCAATCATTGGTATATAGGGAGAAGAGAAGTGGAAAGAGCACACAGCCTTGGGGAGGCCCTGTGCTAATTGTACAGGTATCAGATATACAATCAGAGGATCCCACAAACATTTCTCAGAATTCACCTTGAGGAGAGGACCCAATTCAGAGCATTCATAAAAACTGAATTAGTAATGGGGATGTCCAAACTACTGGAGATGAAGGTATCACAATGAATATGACAGAATTGAGATGAGGTATCACAAAGAACGGAGGATAGTAACCTTGAGAACAGGGGACTGAAGAAAACATGATATGATATTATTTTTAAAATTCCAGCTGTCTGTGTTGCCTGAAAAAGATGGATGCTGGTCAGTGATCTTCAACCCACAGAAGGCAGATTCTGGTTCAGTGTTAGGTTTTTTCACAGCAGGAGAAGTTCAGATATTGTTCTGACCCAAACCCTTTTCCAATAAGACAAACAATAACCAAAGGGAACAGAAACCTTTTAATGAGTCTTACGAATCCCCAGTTAAAAGACTGCTGCAAACTAATTAACTTTGATAAGCACAAATCTTGCCAAAACTGTACGAGACTTCCAAGAATCACAGATATTTCACAACACAAGCGTCTTCAAATACCAAATTAAGATACTGTAATGTCCACGAGGCTGAGTTTCAAAACGTCTTTGCTTCCTGCAAAAAAGTTTGCTTCACAGCTGGCTTTTATCTTCTTGAAGGAGGGGCCATTACCTTGCAGCCTTACTCCTGAGTCGCCCATGCTGTTGCAGCTGCTCTTTCCTGCGAGCAATTCTGCGTGCACGCACACTTGGCACAGGCTCCTCGGGAACCTCCTCATCGCTGCTGCCAACCCCCACAATCTCTAAAGGCAGCAGTCCACTCCCTAATGGTCCTGGCCCCTCATCTGAGTCCTTGCTCTCCTCAGCCGTCTGCACCTACTGCCAGCTGACCATAACAGATATGGACCAAAGCTGTTGGAGCTGGTGACCTCCCGTTCATTAAATCACATTCAAGTAGAGGTTGCAAGTCTTCCATTGGTTGAATATGGATTTCTGCACAGAACAATAGGTTGAACTCAATGGCTTCAGTAGCTCTTTTCATGTGGAGCTCTGACTGGGGATAATGGCTGAAGAAATCAAGATGATGCATTCTGAGAGAATAATGAAGCTTCACACAAATGGCAGAATCCAGCTTCAACACACTTCCAGGTGGGATATGAACGGGTCTGTGAGGTGAAGGGTCAAAAAGTCAAGATGCCAGCCATAACAATCATCATCATCGTCTTTTAATGACCTCTTGTGCAGTGGAGTCTGGGCAATTGAATGGAGCTAGCAGAGTGTTTAATGGCCGGATGCCCTTCCTGTCGCCAATGTGGAGTTTTGTTCAGCAGATATATTCTTATTGTGCCCAGAGAGAGAAATATCTGCCTCTTCCTACGATCAAACTCACAGGTGCCTGATTGTGAGCCGAGAGCTCCACCTCTCGGCCACTGCACCACTCCCATAACAATGTGATCAACAATGTACAAAAAAGGAGTGGGGCCTCAGTCATGTAATGGTACTGGAAATTTTTCACATGCTGCACCCCTCACCACCCTCGCCCCAGGACAGTCCTGGAAATAGTCCTTGACAAATAAGTGAATTATTCCAGAAGCTGGAGGAAGAAAAGGGCAACTGCGATTTCTTCCGTTTCCATTTCTTCCTAGTTATGATAAGCTTGCTGGGGTGAAAATTACTGAATTTAAAGTGAAGATTGAATTCTCTAGCTAAGGAAAGTTCAGCTGGATATTGGGAACTGTAATTACATGTATTTAACTCAGATAAACAGAACTGAACACTTGTTTTACGTGAAAATTAGCAAAGTGTTCCATGGTGCGAATAAATTCCTCTAACAAGTACCTTAATTTTGCTCATTTTAAGAACTTGCTGCTGCATTACAGAAGCCAAACTCTGATTTTCTGTGAGATTGAGGGTTTGTTAGGTAGGGCAGTGGTTGAAGGTCTTAGTGCAGGGGTCTTCAAACTTTAAGACGTGGACTTCAACTCCCAGAATTCCTCCTCCAGTCATGTTAGCTCAAGAATTCTGGGAATTGAAGTCCACAAATCTTAAACTTGCCAAGTTTGAAGGCCCTTGTCTTAGGGTATCATTCAGAATGTATCCAACCTGAATGGCCATCAGACACCTTTCATGAACCATGTGTCAGGTAAGGCCACAGACCCAGCTTGAGTAAATAGCACAGACAGTCAAATTGTTCCTGCATCTAACTCTAAAATTGCCTTCAGTTGCTTAAACCAACCCATCTTCCTCTTTCTGTCTCTTTAACTTTTATAGTAGTTCCGTGTTTCTCTTTGATGTCAGGCCAACGAATGCTCTCTGTAGTTTCATAAGCTCTTCATAGTGTGCAAGGTTGAAATGCCCTATCTGGCAGATGGCAGATATCTATTTCCACATGTGGCTCACCAAGAGACTAGCATCTCTGTTCTGTGCAACTTGAGTGTTTGTCTGCCATAGGAAAGATGGGGTGGCAGTGGAAAGGGATGGAGTTTTATAAGGGCATCTCCCCTCGTGGAAATGAACAGCATGAAAAGCATTTGACTTGTAAGGATGCTGGATGGAAAGAAGAAGCTGCTTCATCCCACCAGGAAAGTTGCAATTATGGGAGCCTCCAAGCTCAGGATGGGACCTGGTGGCATTTGTTTTATACAGAGAAGCCATGTGGCTCTTTGTGAATGAACAATTTAGCCCTTCTGCTAGGAACAGTTCGATGTTACCAGGAAAATGTCCTCGATTATGTGTCTATGGAGATTCTCAGTCATCCAGGTCATGGTTGTCCCAAAGGTGTTTTTTCAAGAGGCATCAAACCCTCCAGGACCAGATTCAGCAGTCCATCTGCATTTAAAAGACACAGGCCACCCTTTTGAAGACAGCAAACTCCACATTTTGGACAGAGAGGACCGCTGGTTTGAAAGAGGGGTCAAAGAGGCCATCTATGTCAAAGTTGAACAGCCCTCTGTCAATAGAGGCAGGGATATGACATCATCTATCTACAGTCTACAACACGGGTGTCAAACTTGCCGTGTCACATTGCTGTCATGTGATGTATTGCGACATTTTATCCCTTTGTGGGGTGGGCATGGCCTGCGCGTGATACATCCACCAGTTTGACACCCCTGGTCTACAACAGAGTCCTTTCAACAGTTCCAAGAAGACTCCACACCTATTTGCACAACTAAGGTGATCTTGACAACACAGACAAATCTCCAGGTGGCCTTAACTCGCTAAAAGAATGCAAATGTCCAGCTGTCTGCAAGGAGTATAAATCCTTCCATTCCTCAACAGTCAGAGCTGAAGAAGCTGTTTGGATTAGAAGCAAAACATCTTCAAAGAAAAACCAGAAAGTCCAGTTACCTCTTGAAAAAGCACTTTTTTGACCTCGATTATCTGATTCCCACAACAGATAGGTCTACTTCTACTTTATCTACAAGTTCCTAAATTCACTCATTAGAATAGGGGTCTCCAACCGTGGCAACTTTAAGACTAGGAATGATTGCAGGAACTGGGCTTGGCTAGTCTAGTCAAGAGAAGGACCAGGGGAGACATGATAACAGTCTTTCCAATATTTGAGGGGCTGCCACAGAGAGGAAGGGGTCAAGCTATTTTCTAAAGCGCCTGTAGGCCAGACAAGGAATAATGGATGGAAACTGAACAAGGAGAGATTTAACCTGGAAATAAGGAGAAACTTTCTGACAGTGAGAACAATCAACTCATGGAACAGAAGTTGCCCTCGGAAGTTGTGGGAGCGCCATCACTTGAGACTTTCAAGAAGAGATTGGACTGCCATCTGTCAGAAATGGTGTAGGGTCTCCGGCTTGGGTGGGAGGTTAGACTAGATGACCTACAAGGTCCCTTCCAACTCTGATTATCTGTTAACTTGTGGACTTCAACTCCCAGCTTTGCTGGCTGAGGAATTCTGGGAGTTGAAGTCCACAAGTTGCCAAGCTTGGAGACCCCTGCATTAGAAGACTGAACCCAATCAGGTGATAACCTATTCAATAACCT